TCGTTAGCTTTCAAAAAGCAACATGAAAAGGTACAGAATATTCTTCGTTAGTGGCAAGTTCAGACAAATCTGACCACGGAATTCTCACGTGGGGAGTAATTTTGGGGCCCTAACTTGGACACTGCACAAGGGAGGGGGCTATTTTTTCAACGATGAAAAAGACGTAGCGGCATCTGCACGCGGCCCCTCGTAATGGGAGAAGCCGTTTCCCTCGCCGCAGAGATGTTAGTGCATACGGTGTTAGTTAGGGACCCAAAATTTCCACGTGAGATCCACATAGGTCAGATCTGCCTGGATGCTGCCCTTGAGCCACCTTTCGGTTTTGACTGTACTATTCTAGACACATTATCAACCAGAAACCAAAGAGGATGCTCCACAATTAATCGAAGTAGTAGTCCATTCTGCCGCGAATGGAGAAGATGCCGTAGTTGACGACGTACACAGCGAAGAAGCCGTGGATTCTCATGTGTATGCTTGTCCCATCATAGAATGTGGTATGCAGAGTCAAAACAAAGAAGAGGTGATTTTTCCTCTTTCACGCCACTTAGGCTCCTATTACAGCACTTTTAGGTGGAGGAACATATCGCTGCTGTCCATGGTGACATGCAAGATTGGGTGGACGACGGCGCAGAAGCTGAAGCTTTTGCAAGTGGCTCTGAAACGATCGTTGTGAATGACGTACAAGATGGTCAAGAACAAAATATTGTTAGTGAGCAGCATCCTATAATGGTAACTGAAGACCAGCAGTATCGATATTATCCATATGAGGAGGAAAGTGAGTATGGTTTTTTTTACTCCACTGAAAGGCAGTGGATCGGGAAAACGGACCCTTTTCGGGTTTCATTGGTATTATGTAGTAGACAAACCGTAGCCGCAACCCCACCCTTCAGTTTATGCGCTAAGTCCTGAAAAATGGCTTTAAAATTCCACCAGCCCCGCCCACTTCCATCGAGTGGGCGGTGTCAGTGGAGTTTGAAGCGCCTCAGGACTTCTTAGTGCATGAATTGGCCGGGGAAGGGGGGGGGGGCTACAGCGTACTAGGGGATCTACTA